ATGAAGATGACAAAAATCCAACTTTTGTGTTTTTTGTTTTTGTATTTAGTGAATTTTTAAATTTTTTTTTGGGATTTTTTTTTAAGGTCCTTAATACTAGTAATTTAAAGAATAGCGGACACCAAAAAAAGGGATGATGTATCAGGACCCTCAACTGAACGCGCGCATTTTTAATTCTTTCTTGGACCATAATACCCTTCACAAATCAATAGAGAACACTCCACTCGATTCCGAAGACTCAGTTCCATTCCAAAAATCCAACCATCTTCACGAGCAAGAGAATAGGAGAATTAGGGTTTCACAATCATTTTCACTATCAACATTACGGTTTCATTTTCTTCTGCCAAAATCTTTTTCATTCATTCCTCACAAATTTCTTTGACTCATTTTCACTATTTATCGTCATCTCAGTTCATCTTCATCTCATTGCATATTCATCTCAAGGCATATCAGTTCGTAATTAGGGTTTCATCATCACTCTGGTAAGTTTTCTACAATCCAACGAGTTTTTCACTGAAAACACAGTTAATTGCATATTTTATTAGCTTTCCATTTATTAGGATTTCAATTTCGTAATAAAAAGTTACATGAATTTGAAAAATGTTATTTCTCTAAGTTTTGAACTTAATCTTGAAGATTTTTGTGTGATTTTGTCTTTAAATTTCTCTGTCATTTGAATTTCTCTGGTATGGGCTTGATATATGTTTCTTCTTTGAATTTTCTATGGCATGTTTATTCCCCCATCTTCTTTGGTATGGTTAATTTCTCTGTATTTCTTTGTGTAATTTTCAAATAGAATTCATTCAAATTTCTCTACTCTATAAATTTCTCTGACTTGCCATGTTTAATTTTCTCTGGCATGTGTCATTTTCATTTTCTGTGCTTGCTAGATTTATGTTTTTTTCATGAATTTTCTCTGGCTATATTTTACATCTATATGTAATTTTACTCTCTTGCCCGTGTCTATGTTTATCTGGAATTTATAATTTTCTTTGGCTATATCACTTTTCTCCATTGTGTGTGTCTGTCATATTTAATTTTTTTCTAGTTGTCTGTAAATTTCTATGGCATTTTAATATTATGGAATGGAAATTTTCTCTGGAATGTGTTTGGATTTTCTCTGGCTATATTTTACATCTACATATAATATTACTCTCTTATTTGTGTCTAAGTTTCTTTGGCATTTATAATTTTCTCTAGCCACATCACTTTTCTCCCTTGTGCGTCTCTGTCATGTTTAAATTTCTCTGGTTGTGTATGTAAATTTCTCTGGCATTTTAATATTATGGAATGGAAATTTTCTCTGAAATGTGTTTGAATTTTCTTTGGCTATATTTTACACCTATATATAATATTACTCTCTTGTTTATGTCTAAGTTTCTTTGGCATTTATAATTTTCTCTGGCCACATCACTTTTCTCCCTTGTGCGTCTCTGTCATGTTTAAATTTCTCTGGCATTTTAATATTATGGAATGGAAATTTTCTCTGGAATGTGTTTGAATTTTCTCTGGCATTTTTATTTTCTGTGGTTGCTAGATTTATGTTTCTTTTTTGAATTTTCTTTGGCTATATTTTACATCTATATGTAATTTTTATCAATCTTTTAAAATTTTTCTGTCTTGTTTATGTTGCTTTCTTTATTTTCTTTGGGAATAGAAATTATCTGTGGCAACATGTATTCCACACGAAAACACTCAGTATTCTCTTGTCTATGTCTAAGTTTCTCTAAAATTTATAATTTTCTCTGGCCACATTACTTTTATCCCTTGATAATTTCTCTGGCATGTTTATGTTGCTTTTTTGATTTTCTCTGGGAATGGAAATTTTCTGTGGCTAGATGTATTCCACCGGAAAACAATTAGTACTCTGACATTTAATTTTCAGTGTATAATTTTCTCTGACATTTATAATTTTCTTTGGCTATCTTAGTTTTCTCCCTTATGTGTAATTTTCTCTAACATACTCAATTTTCTGTAGCATGTTTAATTTTCTGTGGGATCTAATGTTGACATCTTTATGTTTTCATTGTCTAGAAATGGCGAAACACAAAAGCAGCAAAACACCAAAAATACCACAAAAGAAACAGAAACTCTCTGAGTCTTCTTATGATCTTAGATCAAAAGGCAGCAAAACGCCACAAACTCCTCGTCAAAAAACACAAGTCCAAGGTGATGAAGCAACAAGCGTCAAGATGAATACCCCAACTTCAAAAGACTCAAGCTCAAGGGGAAAAAAACATGTTAAACTCCAAAGAAAGAGAGCTCATTACAGCATCCAATACTGATCCAACCTCTCATCTATTATCTCATTTTTTCAAACTCTTAAATTCAATTCAAACCAATTTGAAGAGCTTCAAAAGACTCAATTATGGTATTTGATCCAAGCTCTAACCACTAGAAGGATGGATCTAAGGAAGTCTAGGAAATCTGATGATGATGTAGTTGCAATAATCCAACGTTACAATGAAAAAATGAAAGCATTCACAGTTGGTAAAAAGAACTTGACCTTTACAACCAATGACATGACCTTGATTTTTGGTTTGCGAGGTGGTATAGAAGCCATGTCATTAAGATACTCAAAAAAGTCAAAGACTGCATTCCTAATGCGAAGATTCCCAAAGGACACAAGGCTCACTGGTCATGTTCTTAAGAATGCCTTGGTCAAAGCAATGAAAGGAAAGCAATCAACTGACTTCAAAGATGTAGCAATCATTGTTACCTTGTACTTGTGTCTCACCCTATTTTTTGCAACAAGTGAGAATTCAATAAGGTGGGTTTTTATCAAGTATGTGGAACCTCTTGAATCAATGAAGCAGTATGATTGGCCAGAAGCAATCACAACAACATTGATCGATTCTATAATAGCATTGCACAAAACTTCAAAAAAAGTTACGGGGTGTCTCATTGCATTGCTGGTAAATAGAATTTCCATTCAAATTTATAGTTATGATACTTACAAATTTGTGTGTTTAGCAAAATTTAATTACTTCAATTTCCATCACAATATTGGCTATGTGAACATGCGAATATCATTGACTGGGAAGACAGCAACACAACTGACTTCTTAAGATGTACCAAGTGGAACCTACAAAGCTTGACCAAATAGTTGCAGAAAACACCAGTCCACTCTCTTGCACTTCAACAGGTTAGATTTCTATCGCCATTGCATTCTCAGTGAAATTCCAAAATTTCTCTAACCACTGGTTGTTTCCCTTCTTGTGCTTTGATTGATTGAGATCAATTTTTGTCTGCGATGCGATATCTTGTATGAAATTACTTATGTGCGTTGACTGATTGACATCAATTTTATCTGAAATTTCAATTTATGTTGCTTTTTTGATTACCACTAGTTTATTTCTACCCTTGTAATGAGTTTTCTCTGGAATCCAAATTTCTCTGACCACAATTGTAATACATTAACTTATATGCCTTGCTGGATTTTCTCTGATATCTAAATTATGTTGTTTGTTTAATAATTTTCTCTGACCCATAAAATTATTTCTCCTTGTGTGTAATTTAATCTGGCCCATAAATTATGTGCCTTGACTGATTGAGATCAATTTTATCTGAAATTTCAAATTATGTTGCTTCTTTGATTAACACTGTTTATTTCTACCCTTGTAATGAATTTTCTCTGGAAGCCAAATTTCTCTGATCACAATTATAGTGATATTAACATTTCTGCATTGATTGATTTTCTCTGATATCTAAATTATGTTGCTTGTTTCATAATTTTCTCTGACCCATAAAATTATGTCTCCTTGTATGTAATTTTCTCTAGCTTATATAATTTTCTCTGAAGTTTGTTTCCCATTAGTATGATTTAGATGAATATTATCTGCCTTATTTGAATTTTTCTCTCAGTGAAATTTTAACATTTCTCTAATAAAAGAGCCTCCTATTACAAATAGATAACGAGGAGCTAGTTAAAAACCCATTAGAGGAGTTTTATCTTGGTAAAAAGAAAAGGAAAGAATCAAAAAAGGCATTGGTCAAATTCAAGAAGACATTAGAAGATTCATCTGAAGAAGAAAGAAGGAATGAAGCAGAAGAAGGCAACACAAAAGAATAAGAAGCAAGCAATGGAGATGAAGATCAAGCAAGCAGTGCAGAAGCGGGAGCTAGAGAAGAAAATGAAGAAGTAGAAGACAAAGAAGAAAATGACCAGAAAGAAGAAGAAGACAACGAAGAAGAAGATGAAAGCACTGAATGTAAAGAAGAAGAAGAAAGCAATGAAGAAATGGATGAAGAAAAACATAATGAGCTGATGGACCAAGATCATGATAGCATTTGTGGCTCAACAATGCATCAGCCTCAAGAATATGAGGGATCAAAGGATGCTCAAATTGCTAATCTACATCAAAGACTAAAGGCATTTTCAAAATCCAAAATAGAAGAAGAGAAAAATTGGAATGAATTACTTGCAGAAAAGGACATTGCAATAAGAACCTTTACATCATATAACTCAGAACTTCAAGAAAGAGACAGCACAAACCAAATGAGTCTAAGGATGCTGGAGGTTCAAAAAGAAGATGACACAAAAACAATTCAACAGTTGAGGTATTCAATTTCAGAGCTTGAAACTAAAAATGCTAGAGTGCATGAACAAATTCAAGAACTATTTGTCCAACTAGCAACACAACCTTACCGAACGCCAACACAAGTTCAACCCCAAGGTCAGTGAAAACCTTGAGCCACAAAAAGTTATGTTCTTGTGTCAACTTAATTTAGAGAAATTTCTATTTATTACAATTTTCTCTGTCAATGGTAATTTTCTCTGGAAGTTAAATTTCTCTGACCACATTAGTTTGTCCAGTTTGATTTCTGCTGCTTATTTGATTTTCTCTGTCTATTTGCTTGTTTGATTTTTGGGGCTTGTTTGATTTTCATTGTGTATAGTTGGAATAGAAGTAAGACAACAACCAATAACTTAGCAAGAACAAGTGGCACACAAAGAACAACCAAAACAAAAGACAAAAGTCTATGGCAACTGGAAAATATTGAATCAAATAAATTTACATATTGAAATTGTCATGACCTGAACCCCCCTATAGGTAAGGATCATAACCAACCAGTAATCATTAGATTACCTACGGCCTTAGACAGAAAACAGATTTTTAAACAATCATATGGGGCCAAAAGCGGAAGCAGACTTAAAAATTTTGTCCAATGAGCTATGCTTACATGATAAAGCGAAACATTTCATAAACAGTCCATAATAACTCACACATAAAAAGAGAGTTAATATCTCATACATCCAGGAACTTCAAGACATGCAGTCAGCCAAACAAAACAAGCTTATATGCATGGATGGTCCAACGTATTCACCGATATAGCAAAAGTGTAAACACATGAACAAAAATAAAGTCTCGTGCGTCAAACGTGCGGGCTGACTCCACAAAACTTGACTTCCTTTCATATCTTTCACTGAGGTTGGGTTTGGACATCCCTTTGCTCACCTACACACATACAAATGAGAGTGAGCGATAGCCCAGTGAATAATATCAAAATAAAGAAGTTACATGAATGAAATTCGTAACAGACATATCTAACGGCCTTAGGCCCATTCACGTTTTTATCTAATATATCAAACGGCCTCAGGCCCAATTCACTCTTATCAAACGGCCTTGGGCCCAATTTGTTTGTGTCAAACGACTTTTGGTTCAATCATTCATGTCAAACAGCCTTCGGCCCAAGCATTTATATCAAAAGGCCTTTGGCCCAATCATTCATATCAGACGGCCTTTGGTCCAATCATCAATGTCAGACTATCATTCATGTCAGACGGCCTCTGGTCAAATCATTCATGTCAGACGGCCTTTGGCCCAATCATTCATATTAGATGGCCTTTGGCCCAATCATTTATGTCAAGCTATTATTCATGTCAGACGGCCTTTGGCCCAAATATTCATGTCAGACGGCCTTTGGCCCAAATATTCATGTCAGACGGCCTTTGGCTCAATCATTCATGTCAGATGGCCTTTGGCCCAATCATTCATGTCAGATGACCCAATCATTCATGTCAGACGGCCTTTGGCCCAATCATTCATGTCAGACGGCCTTTGGCCCAATCATTCATATCAGACGGCCTTTAGCCTAATCATTCATGTCAAGCGGCCTTTGGCCCAAATATTCATGTCAGACGTATTTATGTGTGTTTCATACTCATGATCATGATCGTATTTGTATTCATTTAGTCTTAAGCAAAAGACTGACATTTAGAATACTCATTCTTAATTCAAACATACAAATCCATAAGGCATGTATAGAAGTAACATTTGGGAAAACAACATACTTGAGCATATCTTTACTAAGATATTACTCACAGTGTTCTGCCGGTGGATTCGTCCTTATGCTTTACCCTACACAATTCATAACACATATTGAGTTACAAACAATTCAATCCGTTCTTTAATCTATTTATTTCTCTTAGGCTTCTTTCTTTACCCTTTAGGTCATTTACAAAGTTCAATATATTCCTAAGAGTGCTTAGAAATGAAAGAGAACGGAAAAAAAAACACAAAACCATTTTTCATAATTTCAGGAACAGGGCTCTCCGCTCGAGCGCGGATTGGCCGCTTGAGCGGACCTCTTTGGTCTGCAGAAGTACTGGTTACTACATTTTTATGCTCGAGCGTGACTCTTTCCGCTCGAGCGGACATCAATGCTTGCAAAAGTTCTGGAAGCCAACATTTCACGCTCGAGTGGCGCTCTTCCCGCTTGAGCGGACATGCCGAATTCTGGAATTTCCAGAATTGCATTTGAAGCTCAAACTTAGCTTTCAAATGGTCTAAAGCTCATGTTCTTGATACAAAATCGTAAAAATCTTTATACAATATGAGGACATAAGAAAATTGAGTCTAATTTGTCCAAAATCAAAATTCAATTCCCAAATTATTTCACATTTTTCTTGACAACCCATACCAACTTCATATCTTTAAAACTCATGCAAATTAATTTTCATATCACTTTGAATTTCACATGCATATGCGATATAGGCTTCATTTTCAACTTAAATAACACAATTGATGCTCATCTTCATCAAACATGATCAATTTTAAATCAATTACATCAAAACTCCTTTAATTTACAAATTAGGTTCTTTGTTCATAAACCCATATTTTCCAAAGCTTAATTCTCATTACATCAAAACATGAAATCAATTATTATAAATCCATGATGCATGTACAATTAGAGTATTAGAACTTGTAAAATTTGTCCATGCATGTAAGAATTAGACTCAAACTCATGCAAGTTATTCCAAAATCAAACCCAAAATAATTAATTCCCAATTTAACTTCCATAAATTTGAACTTAACTCTATTTCTTCATCACCTTAGTAACTTCTTTTTAATTGCATGGAATTGAATCTACTTACTTCTTAATTCCAACTTCTAGATAATTTATCTATAAGATTTGAGCTTTGATTCCTCATCTAGAGTTCTTAATTGATGAGTTTCTTATACATGCAATTTCCAAAATTTAAACTAAAATGATGAAACTTAACATAATTTTCCATAATTATGTATGTAACTCATTTCTTGCTCAGAACCCAATTTCTCTTTAATTTCATGAACATGATTCCAATTTCTCTTTAATTTCATGAACATGATTCCAAACCCTTCTCAATCTCATGCATAAAAAGAAGATCCTATATAAATCAAGTTTGAATTCCATACCTCAAATTTTAATTTCAGCAATTAGATTTGATTTCCCCATTTAAATCTTCTTCTTCTCTAGCTTCCTTAATTTTCTTCAAAATTTCCAGCAAGGATTCAAGGAATTGAACCCTCTCTCACTCACGATTCTCTCTCTCTCTCTCTCTCTCTCTCTCTCTCTCTCTCTCACGGTGTTTTTTCTCCCTTTCTCTAACTCTCTATTTTCCAAGTCTAGCACATGAACTCATATATTAACATATTTATATAATTATCATTGTTGCCTTCACCTTACACGTGCACACACACACAACATATTCCAGCACAACACTCTTATACATCACAACCAAATTTCTCAGTACACCCATCTAAATTTCTCAGCGCACCCACACTCACAATTCTAGTTTGTTTCATAATGCAATTTATGCTTAGGATTAATTTAATTAAGCAGCACTTAATCTTAATAAATCTTAGCTAACACATAATTAATTAATCGTAACTAATCACAAATCCCACATAATTTAATTAGTCCAATTTGAATTCCTTAAGAGCCCAATTAATTATATTTAGTTTATCAATCTGAATCAGATTTTTAATCAAACTTCAAAAAGGCTCCAAATATTAAATTAAACTTATTGTCATCATCAATTTTGATTCCCCAAATCATTTAGGCCGTTAATTTCTAATCAGACTCCAAATTTTCATCAATAAATTATATATTCAAATTGGACACCTCATAAATAAATTTCATTCGTAGTAATCACAATTCTCAATCTTCATAATTTAATTAGCTTAATTAACTCCAATTCGTACCTAATTAATCGAATCTCAATTTTACTAAACTGTATCGAATATTTAATTAACTCCCAAATGGGTTCGTAATTAAAATTAAATTGATTTAACTTCTTAATTTCGCTTCCTTAAGCCATTTGGACCCTTAAAATAAATCTTCAATAGAATCATATACGAATCAGATTCCATAATTCTCACAAATCCCAAATTAAATTAGGATAATGACTAATTAAAATCCAAATCTCCTTAATTAACCAAATATAAAATATTATATGTGACGGGGTCATCACAGAAATATGATCTGTTACTTTAGAGAAATTTAACTTTTATTGATATTTTCAATGTCTACAGTGAAAAAAGATCCTACATCAATGATAAAGAATTTAAAGGCAAAAGAAAGGAAAGAAAAGTAGCAAAATCTAGAATTTCAATATCCCAAAGTTGTGAAGCTGACTAAAGGTTCAAAGTAAGCTGCAAAGCAAACAGAGCAAACCACCAAAGACAAAGAAGTATTTGATGCCGATAAGTACGCCTTGCCTCAACCAACAAGCATCAGAAAATCTTGGATTTTTCCACAAATTCTACCGGTTTCAAAATTGGTAAAAGAACATGTAAAAAACATCTTGCAGCATATATCAAATGTGTCTAGACTCGAGTAAGTGCAACAAATAAAATACAAGATAACAAATAACAATTTACTAACTTATATTGCATTAACAACTATTAAATCCTCTATTTTTTGTCATCTTGTAGGGCTTTAATCTAGACAAGTGAGTTGAATCTCATTACCTTTGAAGATATTGGAAACCTAAAAAAGGAAAAAGAAATTGCCAACAATGTAAGTCATTCATCAAAATTTCTCTACAATGTTCCATCTGCCTTTATAAACCAATGTTACAATTATAAATGATATTTTTTAGGTCATTGATAGCTATGGAGAGATCCTATTTACTAACCAAAGGAGAAAAGGACAACAACCAACTTCATTTTTTTTTTCCACATGTATGAGCTTGGTATGTTACTACTTTTTTATATGATTTTTTTTGGAATTTACTTACTACTTTCTCTTGTTAAGATACTTCTTGAAACCAATTGTGTCACTAGTTTAATTTTCTCTGGCTAGTTCTGTGCATTTAAAATTTCTCTGTGTGTATATTTCTGAAATTCATGTCATTTCAATTTTCTCATAACCATTTTTTGATTTTCTCTGACTGCAGAACTTCATCAAGATAACGGAAAATCAAACTTTTCGAGTATGATTATTTGACAAGCATCTTGAAACAGCACGGATGAACTACAGATTCCTCTATTTCCCAATAAATACTAGGGGCAATGAGAAGTCAACAGATGGAAATCACTGGACCTTGCTAGTCTTGGACAAACAAGACAATTTATGGAGGTACTACAACTCACTAAGGCCAATGAGGGATGATGCACAAGACAAATATATCAAAGATGCAAAACAATTGGTAACGAGTGTAAATTTCTCTGATCCATGATAATATTTATGTGATGATAATTTTAATAGAATCCCATTAATTTGTGTGTAAATTTCTCTGTTATTTAAAAATTATATTTTTACAACAAGATTATGTGGAGAATTTTTTGAAAGCTTGCCTTGAAAGAGAGGCACAATCACAACCCTCTTTCAAATTGATAGACTCACAAAACACAAATTATGACTTTGAATATGTCAATAATGCTCCACGACAATACAGTGATTCGTAAGTTTCATACAACATCTATAAATAAGACAATCTAATTTGAATGTTTCTTAAAACTAAATATACCTATAATTTGTATGCAATGTGGATTGTGACCTCTTTGTATGCTATATAATGAGACAATATAGCAACCATGAACCTATCAGCTCGAAATTGTCGACACAAGATGTAAGGTTAATGGGGGCAGAAATCATAGAGAGATTTGTGACCGAAGTTGGCCGGTCATGAACAGAACTAATTCAAATACCATCAGAAGAAAAACCAAAAGTATAATAGTGAAAGCACACTGGTGAAAGGAAGACAATGCACACAATGTAATTAGGAATAACCCTTCAATTTATTTTTTCATACATTGAAGGAATGATGATGTTTAACATATATGTATATATCTTTTTTTTTACTAATATAAATTTCATAGCTACCAATGGTTAAATATATATATTTTTTATAATACATGCTAATCCATGATAATATTTATGTGATGATAATTTTAATAGAATCCCATTAATTTGTGTGTAAATTTCTCTGTTATTTAAAAATTATATTTTTACAACAAGATTATGTGGAGAATTTTTTGAAAGCTTGCCTTGAAAGAGAGGCACAATCACAACCCTCTTTCAAATTGATAGACTCACAAAACACAAATTATGACTTTGAATATGTCAATAATGCTTCACAACAAGACAGTGATTCGTAAGTTTCATACAACATCTATAAATAAGATAATCTAATTTGAATGTTTCTTAAAACTAACTATACCTATAATTTGTATGCAGTGTGGATTTTAGCCTCTTTGTATGCTACATAATGAAACAATATAGCGACCATGAACCTATCAGCTCGAAATTGTCGACACAAGACGTAAGGTTAATGGGGGCAGAAATCATAGAGAGATTTGTGACCGAAGTTAGCCGGTCATGAACAGAACTAATTCAAATACCATCAGAAGAAAAACCAAAAGTATAATAGTGAAAGCACACTTGTGAAAGGAAGACAATGCACACAATGTAATTAGGAATAACCCTTCAATTTATTTTTTCATACATTGAAGGAATGATGATGTTTAACATATATGTATATATCTTTTTTTTTACTAATATAAATTTCATAGCTACCAATCGTTAAATATATATATTTTTTATAATACATGCTAAGTGGTGATTGTCAACACAATCGACATAGAGAAAACTATTTGCAGAAATTTCCCTGGTATTGTATTACCAGAAATTCACAGAGAAATTTAACCCGTATCATGCCAAGAGGGTGGCTATATGATTATGTAATCTGTAATGCACTGTGTTGGTACAAAACAATCATCAAATTCAAAAAACACGAAGCGCACAGTAATTTTCTATACTATTGGCAAATTTCTCTAAATGAATTTGAAGCTTCAAAACACAATGCATAGAAAATTTTCTCTGTTGGTGGCAATTTCTCTAGATGAATTTGACTAGTATTATAACCACACTGCCTATAGTATGTTTCAATAAACACAATGCACACTGTAATTTTCTATGTTATTGGCAAATTTCTCTAGATGAATTTGACCTCACAAAACACAATGTACATTTCAACAAACATAATGTCCATAGTAAATTTCTCTTCTATTGGCAAATTTCTCTGGATGAATTTGACTGGTATAAAGTTACCAGAAATTCACAGAGAAATTTAACTCGTATCGTGCCAAGAGAGTGCCTATATGATCATGTAATCTGTAATGCACTGTGTTGGTACAAAACAATCATCTCAAAAAACACAATACACACAGTAATTTTCTTTGCTATTGGTAAATTTCTCTGGAGGAAATTGACCTCACAAAACACAATGCATAGAGAATTTTCTCTGCTAGTGGCAAATTTCTCTCGATGAATTTAGCTGGTATTATAAACACACCGCGTATAGTATGTTTCAACAAATACAATGCACACTGTAATTTTCTTTGCTATTGGCAAATTTCTCTCGATAAATTTGACCTTACAAAATACAATGCACATTTCAACAAAAACAATGCCCATAGTAAATTTCTCTGCTATTGAAAAATTTCTCTAGATGAATTTAATTGGTATTATAAAGGCACTCCCAAAGTATGTTTCTAAAAACACAATACAAAAAGTAATTTTTACTGCTATAGAAAAATTTCTTTGGATGAATTTGATTGATATTATATACACACTATCCAAAAAATACATTTCACAAAACAAAATACACAAAGTAATCATCAAATGTATTATTCAATCAATAAAATGTATTATCCTCAATTATTTAACAAAGGTTCCTTGCATGTCCTCTTATTATGGCGACTAATACTCTCACATTGACTACACTTCATCACCCTTCTAAACTCTTCAGTAGAAGCAATTCTGTTCTTCTTTGGCCTCCCAACTAGTCTCTTACTCAATGGAGGTAAAATCATAGCATCATCAATGCTACACACAGGTTTTTCAACAGTTGGAACTGGGTTAATCGAAAACTAGTATGCTTGACAATATATATCAGCATGAACAAATAGTTCAACAAATGAATTCAAATTCTTTCCACTCCTAAAAATTGCAGCAACAACATGTTGACATGGATACCCATTTATTTCCCATTTTCGACATACACAAGTTCTCAACCCGAGATCAACCATAACCGAAGGAAAATAATGCATTTCAAACATATTATTAGATGATAAACTCACAT